TCCTTGTGATTATAAATCCAAGCAAAGACAACCCATCAGGATTCATGTGAAATAAAACAAAAAATTGTGAGAAACAGAGTATGCATGTGTGGGAAGGGGTCACTATAAACTGGAGGACACATACATTGCAACAGACACGCAAAACCCAATGAAGGGATAGAAAACCATGAGCTGGCTTTCCTCTGAGACCCCTCCTAAGCTGACAACTTCTCAATAATGGAGATCAAAGTGATTAGACAGCTGAAATGCCAGGCAAAAAGTCTAGAGTCCTACACCCTGACCACAGAGAAGACTCCAACGAACAAGCTGGGAACCAATTTGAAACCTTAAGAAAAGTTATGAAATTAACTGAAAACCTAGACAGGAAAATTACCAATGAAGATGAAAGAATAGGTAGCTTGGTAGAAAAATTTCAAAACATCAAGGAAAAATCCTGTAAAGAAATTCAGACCCTGAAAAAGAACCAGACAGAAATTCTGGAAATGAATAAACCAATCAATCAAACAAAAACAACAACAAAAACCCATAACATATCAGACAGCATCATCAACCTTCAAGATCATGCAGAAATAAATCATATTATTTATAGGAAAACAGGTATGTCAACTAAATTATGCCAATTTTAGAAAGACAAATTATGTTTTCTCTCATTTGTGGTTCCTACATTTTATAGAGATACCTAAAGTCTTGTATGTGTATATGATGCCAACGTAAATAAAATTATGGAGAAAAAAGAGGTGGGGAAGGGAATGAGAAAAAGCCTCAATAAACAGCATACATATGTAGGGAAACTTAAAAAACAACCCTATAAAAAGATGTCAGTTGTACCTAAAGTGATCAGTTAAATTCTATCAAAGCTTCAGTGTTAGTACAAAACCAGAAAAAGTCATCCTAAAATTCACAGGCGATCCCAAAGGATCTCAGATATATAAAGCAACCCAATTCCAAAACTAATTATGTCTTTTTCAAAGAAAGCCACAATTATCCTGACACAAAGACAGAACTAAGGACCAATGCAGGACAAAAGAAAGTCCATAAAAAATATTTGTCTATGTATAGTGAAACATTATTTTTTGACAAGAATCTCAAGAAAAGCTTACTGATGCTTGCTCCCTGAACTGCTTCAAGAGCCCTAGCCCATAGTTACATGACCAATGACCTTGAACATTTTTTTGTGCTTATGGATTATTTACAATTTTGATATTTTGAAATGCCTTGTGGTTTGTGCTGGTTTTTAGTTCTGGTATTTTACTATTTACTGGTTATCAATTCATATATCAGTATATTCACTCTTTCTTAGAATGCTGGGGCATTAACACTACTCACTGAAACTTTTTTGCAGTGGTTTCAAATGCTACCATTACTGTAGAGTAATTCAAGTACACAAATCAATCTATTTTCAAAGATATTGTGCCTAAGAGAACAGACTATAAAACAAGGCTGTCTTGATTCTAAGTTATCACGTATAGACATTTTAAAAACATACAAATTTCAACGTTGTCTGAAGCACAAAATCACACACACACACACACACACACACACACACCTCTTACAAAGATTTGAAAGGTGAGTGATAGGAAAAACTCTGGTTAGAAAGAAGTTTTGGTTACCAAGTCATTACAGTATGTCAGGCACTTCAAATATGTTAACTTATTCATACTTTGACAATTTATACATTGTTACCATTTTACAAACAATAAAATGGAGGCAAATGGTGTTAGATAAACTATACAAAAGCCACAGAGCCAATAGCTGAGTTTGGAACTGAATCAGCAGGCTCTGAGTATTGTTTTTAAAAGTTAATATGAGGGCACTGGTGTAAGGGGATGGACCTTACTCTAACCCTTTATCTGAGAGCTGGCTTTTTCCCTCTTATTCTCCACACTGCAGCCTCAGGCCTCCCTCTAAACGAGGTATAGGAAAACTATGGAATGGAATGCAGCCAAATGTTACTAAAGATTTTTTTTTTCCTAGTTTAAAGCACCGAGGGAAAAAATAACCACGGTATTTTTGTTTGTTTGTTTCTTGGTGTGTGTGCGACACTTGACATTTTTATTATATTCAAATTGCTGTAAATAAAGCTTTACTGGGACATGCCACACTTACTGTTTGTGCACTGTGGCAGCTGCCGTCATTCTATGATGGTAGTGTTGACTAGCTCTATAGTATCTGTAAGTCTTGCAAAATGAAATATTTACTACCTAGTCCTTTCCAGAAAAGGCTTGCAGACTCCTGATCAAAATTATGATCATATCACTCTTCTGATTCCAACCCTTTGTCAGGTTCCAGCAGCTTTAAAGATAAAGTCTAACTCCTTAATTCATATTTATGTGGTGATATTTTGTTTGTGCTCTAACAAATAAAGCTTAAGATCAGAGTACAAGCTAGCCACTAGCTAACCATATAGGTTTGTACAGAGACAGAATGTGATATGGCTGGGTGGAGAGAGAAATATAAGCAGAAGGAGGCAGGAGCTCAGTCTCTTTTCCCGCTGTGAAGTTGAGGAGGTGAGGTGTGGCTGTGGTTTATTATTCATCTCTCAGAACTTTAAGCATTTCCCCTATATCTGACTCCTGGCTTTTATTATTGAGACCTATTAGAACTCATGTTACACACTTAGGCCCCTCTAGTCTCAGCTGTCTCTGCCAGCCACATCACCTTTCTTGTCATGTTGTATACCTTGGCCTGTTTACACCACCAAATGCTAAAGTGGAAAGCACTGTTTGCAGGTTAACTGATCCTTTTTTGTTGGTGGAGTTTTGTTTGTTTAGGGTTTGGAGGTGGTGGTTTGAGACAGTCTCATGTAGCTCATACGGGCCTCAAAATTGCCGTGTTACCAAGGATGACCTTAACTTCTGGTCCTCTTGCCTCCACCTCACAAGTGGTGACATCACACCTGGTTTATGCATTGTGGGGATCAAACCCCGGACCTTGCTCATGCTTGACAAATACTTTGCCAACTGTGCTATGTCCCCAGACAGAGATACTTCTTTTTTTGTGGTCTCTTTGGTATTATTTTTAATCTCTAAGGAAGAGATGGCTTAAAGATAATAAATCCTTTGCAAGTAGAGATAATCCTGCTTATTTTATAAACTTTCATTTTTCAAAAGAGGTTGTATTTCTTAGAATATAGGCTATGAACCTCTGGCCGGATGAAATTTAAACAGTAAGAATCAATCTATATGAAAACATGATAAATTCTTTTAGATAATTTCAACATCAAGTCTCAAATGTACACAGTACTTTCATAAACTTAAACAGAGCTCCGAGGCCTCAACACTGTATTTTGAGATCGCTTAAAATAGACCTTGGCTAAAGGCAGTGTCTTAGATGAGGAGTGAAGATGTGCACTCCGAATACGTCTGTACTTTTCCAACTGAGCGTCTACTCATCCTCTCCTCTATTTTAACCCATCAGTAGAAAATCTCTTGGATTAAGGAGATTTGAAGGAACACAAAGACTTTCTCTAAATTGGTACTGGGTTAAACAGATTAAAATGCTGAAACAAATACAAAAATAGTTTAGGTGGTTTTGATGATTATATTTATTTATTAAAATAGAGGAATAAATTATAGAGTATAATATTCTGAGAGAAATTTTGCCCAGCCTCCCAAAACAATTGCAGTTCTAATCATTGTTCTTATCTGCCCTCTGCCCCCCAAATGAGACTCTCAACATAAAACAAGAAATATGGGCCAGGCCTGGTAGCTGAATCCCAGCACTCAGAGAGTCTAGAGTGAGTTGCAGAATAGCCAGGGCTACATACCAAGAATCTGTTGGAGGAGGAAGTCAAGGAGTAGGAAGCTGTGGGGGGGGGGGGAGATGGGAGAAGGGGAGTGAGGAGGACGATAAACCTCTATAGGAATAATACACAGCAGAGGTGAGAAGACAGGCAGGAAGGAAAGGTCAGTCAATCAGAAATGAAAGCTGTGACATTGTGCTGTCTGTAGCCCAGATTGTGATGAAAATAGTAAACCTTTGTCAATATACTGCCATGCCTGCCCAAGTGGAGAGTAAAACAAAGATGGAAAATGTAATGTTCATCTTTTTCAAAGCAATTACATTTTATGATTAATGGATGTGTAATTGATTTGAGAATATGAAATTTAAATTTTGTCATTTGTAATTTAGAATTTTAATACCAAAGTCAATGGAAACACAAATGACCTAAGGTGATGAACTCCATACATAGGAAATGGCAACACTTGCACAGTATCTTCACAGTGCAAAAGAACAGTAAAACCTTTGTCTTTGTTTCTTTGACAAGAGAATTCCCACTTTGTTCATCTGACCTCACTGGGGTGAAAGTTCTCATAAGACAGGAACGAGGGTGCGCAGGGTTATGGGTTTGGAGGAAGAAAAGAAAGAGAAGTGTAATTAAGTTACAATCTTAAAAACAAATAAACAGCCAGGAACCTTACAGTAGGCACAGGGTCAGTAAGAACCTGGGCAATGTCACCACTGGGCAGGTGACAAATAGCAGAGCAAGAGGGCGGTGGACTCAACACCTGTAGACTCGCTTTTCTCTCTAGTTATGCCAAAGCACAAGTGAGCATAAATTCTAAATTCTCGATGAAACCTGAGGGTTCAACAATACAGTATGGTCAGATCCCTGGGACACATTTCCTCCTGTGTCTTGGCTACTGCAGCTGCAAGTGTGCTCAAAGCAAGGATTAGAAAGACATTTAAACTTAATAGATGGAAAGGTGTCATTCCTGCACATCAAGGTTCATCGGGAGAAAAATTCAAGAATTATAAATGCCTTGAAAACATAAAAGATCCTTTAGCTCTGGCAAAGAAAATGTCAACAAGTCAAAAGATACTAGATAGCTATTGACCAGCGTCATGAAGGCAATGCTGCAAGCCATGGTAGAATAATGCCTCCCCTCCATGTGTCTAAGGCTACAAATGACACTAATCCCTTTTAATGGTCACAAAAGCTGACAACTTACTCAGCCATAGAACTGAAGGCACAAAAATCATCTCTGGGAATGACTTACCATAAACAGGTCACGAGCACCAATGTCAACAGCTAAGAGAAAGGCCTTTTCAAATCTCCGGTACCTGTGGTAAAGGTAGAAATGTGTTATTGTGAACAAAGCTATATAAAAGGGAAAAGTGGTTTGCTTTTTGTAATTATTTTGGTATTATATGCATTTTTCTGATGGGGAAAATACTTTCCAAAAGAAGGGTGTAGTCCACTGGGCTTTTCTGGAATATGACATGTTCTGACACTGGGGAGGAGCTCAGCATACGGGCCTGGGAGGCCCAGAGTGTGACTTCTGGGCAAGTTCAACTCAAAGCAGACTTTGCTGAATGTGAGGAGATGAAAACTTAGACATGAATCCCTCATAATTTTCACTTTATTGGGTTTTTAAAGAGAAAAATGGGGCTATAAAGAATATAGAAGGGTAAGAGTAATCAACGTATTATGTAACCACACCTGTTTCTTAGATAAAAGTTAAATACAATCTCAGCTAACTTGAAAAAACACAACAAATTATTTCTAATTTTTAAAAAGAAACCACTTTGTGCTCTTTTCAATGATCATATTTCTTTTTAGAATTTTCTTTTTTGTTGTTGTTTTTGCTTTTATTTTTCAAGACAGAGCTTCTCTGTGTGGCCATGAGAATCCTGAAACTTGCTCTGTAGATCAGGCTAGCCTTGAACTCAGCCCACCTCTGCCTCCCCAGTGCTGGGATGTAAAAGCATGTAACACCACCATCCAGCTAAAATTTTCTTTACAGAAGTTTTATCGTTTGCTAAAATGTGTAATAACAAACAAGTTTAAGTTAAGTGTCTCTACATAAAGCACATTGCAAACACTTCAAACAGGGTTTGGCCACACACACTTGTCTTTGTTTTGTCTGAATGCAGAGACTCATATTGATAGAACTCATCTGTTTTACTGATCCTCAAAACAGTTTGTAGACTGCTCACTATTGTGTTTTGTGTTGTACATTGCAGTGGTAGAAAAGTCAGTGATATTTTAAATTAGAAAATAAGTGCTAAAGATTGACAGTATACATTCTATATACAAGGTAAATAACTTATTATTAGATAGGAACTGTTAGGTTCTGGAACAAGTTCCATATTAGGCTTGACATCTTATGTCCATTTCTCCCTGTTCTTACTAGTAACCCAAGTATTTGCCCAAATGTTTCCTAGCTACAGGTCCTTGGAATTTTGTTTTGAGGGAAAAGGAATTTATTGCAGCATGCTGCCTCATTATGTACGCAAGGAGAATAGAAAACATTGGTGTGGGAGGGTGTCACATAAGAAGCAAGTAGCAAGTCCAAGTGCTTGTTCATGCCCTTGCCATTTTGCAGACCACTGTCCACTCTGCTGCAGTCCTGATGACAACCCCCCCCCCGCCCCGTGACATTCCAGCAGCAGTAGCCATCCACTTCAAATGATTTCAAATCTGACTGCATGAGCCACATCCAACCCTATAAAGTGCCCCTCCTGAAATCAAATGCCTTGGTTCTTCCCTCTCCTTCACGCCTTGTCTGTCTCTGATAGAAGCTGGTATTCTATAGTCTTTAATTTCTCTACTTACTCCGGTCTCAAGAATCACTTACCATTGACAATTCCCTATACCTGGTTCGTGTGTGTGTGTGTGTGTGTGTGTGTGTGTGTGTGTGTGTGTGTGTGTGTGTGTTGGAGTGATGGAAGGAAAAGAGTAAATTATATAAATACAGAACTCATGAAATTCTCAAAAAAAAAAAAAATCCCCATGATTTTAGCTGTAATAGTGGGTATGTGATAGTCTTGTGTTATGGTTTCATTTGCATTTCCCCAAAGATTAGTGGTGCTGAGCATTTTGTATCTTTATTTGCTAACTGGGTATCTTTATTGCTATGTAGCATCACACTGAATGTTGAATCCATGAGTCTTTATTTGTAATTCTGTTCTTACACATACACACATTTATTTGTTCCTAACCAATTGCCCCGTTACCAGTATAGAATGTGCTTTTCAAATCTCTAATAAGAAATTCTATCTTAATGACCATTTCTATTACATTTTAAAAGCATTATAATATTCCATTAAGTATCTTCCTTTTTAGTTTTCTATTTCCTAAATGCCCTTGGTGTCTTTCCTTCTTTCCCTATTAGAAAGCCTTTAGCTGAGGCAGCAGTGGGTGTTGTATGTGTTTGTTATGTTTCATATGTGTGTGTATGTAGAATGTGTGTGTATGTAGAATTCAGGTGGGTGTGTGCATAAGACATGTGTAGACACAGCAGGCACTTTCCTAACTGAGCTATCTAACTCTCTAGTCCTGTCTTCATATGCCTCTACAGATACTCTCAGAAATGATGTTCCAGCCTGAGCCTGGCGAAACAATCTAAGTGTCTGTATCGGGCCCTATAGAAACCACTAGAATGGTTAAAATACACAACCATGGTTTTGAAAGCAAGGTCTGTCATGGCCTTCTAGCACCAGCTAGCCGTTTAGGGATTGCAGACCTCTGACTGCCCCCATTGACACTATCATACTGAGGAATGAGGAACAGCAGAGAAGGAAACAATAAATATCACAGTGCCTTCTTAGCAAAGTTTAGCAGTCTCAATCTCATTAAGCACTGCCTTGACTGCTGTATTTCTAAAGGTTATTCAATCAGTTTTTCCCATTTAATGGATACTTCAATTCTGGGAGCAATTCCTGGAGCTCCTTCCTATTTTTCATGACAGCACCACTCTTATTTCTATCCTGGCATCTATTAGAATATGCTTCTCAGGTTTATTACCACTGTAGGGGTGTTACTGCCTAACAGTCCCAGCTTCTTCATTCTGCAATTTATTGTCCTGTTTTCCTGGTATAGCCTCCTTTTCTATGAGTGGCTCCCAGGCAATGACTGATTATTCCTGAGTAGACAGATATTAAAGCTGTCCTGTTTCTAGGTGACTTAAGAATGACAATAGATTCTTCTGATGGGCAACTTTGGCTTGATGATTTCCAGTGTCCTTCCCTTAGCAATATTCTACATTGGGTTAGTGGGGTGGGGACAGCACAGGGGAGTGATGTCTACCAAGACAGTGATCTAACTGATTGCTGCTGGGTAGTGCTTATCCTCAGGAAGGTGAATGAGTGATTGAGTGCTATACAGTTAATGGCTCTATGGGAGCCTCTCTGGTAGCTTACAAAGGTCATCCTTCACTCGAATGGCAGGGATAGTTAAAGTGGAACAGCTAAAAGAGTCATCACAGTGTTTAAAAGCACTACCAAGGCAGTTCTGCTCTGTGAAAGTCAAGGATACCTGGGATCCTGAAATAAGGAAAGGATACATCTGCCTGGTACATCACTCCTAAGGATGCCCAAACTGCACAGCTCTTGAATCTAGAAGACGCTGCAGAGACCTTTACCCACACACAGTACAACATACACTTCCCCTGGCCCCCTCGGAATATGCCTTTAGTACTTTCCTGGCTGTGAGGCTGATAACTGGGGGTATATATCAGTACAATGAGGTAGGGACATCCTGACCAGAAGGTAAAAGACTATATACTCACAGAGTTGTATTAAGACAGTCTCTGTCACAGGAGCATACCTTGGAATAACTTCTGAGCATGTTTGAACATGGGACCGTGAACAGAAAATTGGCGAATAATGCAGTGACATTGAAAGGGCTATTTAACAGGATACAGCATGTATTCTGTCAATGACCCAAGCGATGGAATGACTATCCTAGATGGCTGGGAAAAACAAGGACCAGTACTCAGTGAGGTGGAAGTGTCTGAGTTGTCACAGAAAAGGGAGACAGTACATTAAGGAGAGGATGGGCACGTTGTTGCCATAAGATGAGTTGTAGTGGTAGTGAACACAGTTGATGACCACGGACTTCTGGCTTTGCTCCATTCTTCATTGACATGAAGTAGCTATACTCTACACCTGTGTGGAAAACTAGATTTTTAGCTGCTAACAGGTGCCCTGGATAGTTGTGTTGGGATCCAAAATCCACCTACACTGAGAATATCCTTGTCACAGGCTGCTCCTAGCCAATGGATGATGGACCAACGCTGCTAAATTTGGTCCATTCCTGGAGACAAGGAACCTATTACCATTATTCAACCAAGCTCCTAGAATCTCAATCGATGCAAACATAGCTTTAGATTTCATCCAAAGACTTGGGTGACTCTTGTGAAAACTTCTGGGGCTGTTTCTTTATGTAGCATCCACATGGCACGTATAAAAATCCACAAGTTCGAGCTACCCCAAAGCAACCAACTCAAAAAAAATGGCATACTGTCTGACTTCCTGTTCTCCGATCTAAAAGGCATGTCTAGTTAGAAATCGTGTTATTATAATCCATGGTTCTTAAAAATTATCAATTTCACTTTTTCTGTAGAACAAATTACAGGTGCCAAGTGTTTTCTAGTAATCATCATTAGATATAACACCCTGTAAAGATAGTAGAAGTAAGCCATCTGATTTCTCCATATACAATTAAGGAGTGTGCACAGGCCTCAGTCTTTGGAAGAACCGGAATTAGAATAATATCCCTCTATTGCAGTGCTTTGGAACAAGGTCTCTGTAGCCCAGGTTTTTGCCCTTGCACTCAATCCTCCTTCCACAGCCTCACATGTGCTGAGATTATGGGTCTACACTAGCACAAGCAGTTCCAATGCTCTTTAAACTCCAACACTAATGACTTAAACGTAATTTAAAAGAGGTCAGTTTCTTCACTTAACAAGTGACAACTCATCTAAGACATCTACACTTTCTCCTGAACACACAGACCCAACACTCACTAGTGCTGGAGCTGTGTTACAGATCTCAACAAAAACCTTTGCTTACAGGGCATTCTCAGACTTGGGGAATTTTCCTCCATAAGTCCATGTATCTCTTATCTCCTGGCCTTGTTTCATTCTGTGGCCATGATAAAACTTTTTGACAAAAAGCACCTTGAGGAGGAAAGGGTTTACTTGGTTCACACTTCCAATTCACAGTCCATCACAGAGGACAATGAGGACAGAAACTCAAGAAGGAACCTAGTGGTCGGAACCATGGAGGAATGATGCTGGCTGGCTTCTTCTGGTTAGGGTTTTTGTTTGTTGGTTTGT